GAAATAATTTCCCTACTCTGACCTAGTGGTAGTGGTCTCTCCAGAGGACAGTCAAGTACTAGTAATAAGATAACTAGTATTTTGAATATAGAAGTATCCCTACATATCTCTAGTGGTAGTGGTCTCTCCAGAGGACAGTCAAGTACTAGTAATAAGATAACTAGTATTTTGAATATAGAAGTAATGACAAATCAGAATGAGTGGTGTAACTCTAATTAAGGGTTAGAGAAGCTGATTTATAATTTAAACTGGGAATTCAGCAAGCTCTTTGATTACAAGAACAGTTTGACTATTGTGCCCTTTTTTAAAGGATGTATGAACCATCTGTGGGTTATGGACATTTTCCTCGGCAGCTGTTCTTTATTTATTTTATTTTATATAATACAGTAATAGCTTTCTTACTGCATCATTCACTTAAGGAAACTAAAAAGGCAGGTTCCTGAAGCTAGGATTTCTGTAATTTCTGTCCGATGGGGAAGTGTTAACACAGAACTGCATTTATAGATCAAGTGTCACAGAAGTTTGTTCTTCAAGAAATTGTACTTCAGTCTTTTCTATTGTTCTAGAGTACTATTATTTCCTTTTACTATCATCGTTCCATCAATTAGTACTTAAGAAAGAATCTGTCCCTGACTCTGTGGATGCTGTTATTTCTGTTTGAATGGGGGAAAAGAATCTATGTCAGCAGAATCGCCTCAAAAACTTTCATGTCTGTGCTTACCTTCCAGAATACGAGTCTGCTTACTTAAAATGCAATGATCCTTCAACTGTTCTCATTTTCTGGAAGTAGTTTAGGAGATCTTCTTGTTGAGCAGGTATCGTGCAATGCTTTGAGATAAAACAGCATGCCTTGTCTCTTAGGCCTGTAGATTGACAGCTTGGATCAGGTTTTCTAGGCTAAGAATGGGAAGTTACTCGGGGCTGACTTCAGCCCCTGCACAGAGACAGCTGGAAAAGGTCAGCCATTACCACTAGACAGGCCCCCACTGTTGCCTATGCCTAGCTGCTGCAGAGTTGGCATAAAAGATGTAGCTGAGTTTTGTTGTTTCTCATCCTGTATTGTGGGCATCACTGTGTTTGTGAGCTGGCTAGGTAGATGAGTTAGCTGTGTAGCATTAGATCAGAGAGTCACCTCTGTGGTGATGTTCAGGTACAGCTCAGTTTTTTCCTTCTGCTCTGTGTATGTCTCTGCTGTGGAGCTTTAATATGGTTCAGAATTAGTTCTCAAATCTCTTGGTGCTTTCAGTATCTCATCCATCAAAGGGTTTGTAAACTCCTTTGTGTTTTGTCAGCGATGTTTTTACTCCAGGATCTGTTAATCGTGTCACAGAAAATACCCGATTTCTTTGCTTACTCGACTCTTTCTGTGAATGAGTCAGAGGTAAGCTTGTTAAATTTCATTGGCTCTATGAGTAGCTGCAGTATAAATTTACATGTGCGTACATGTAAATATAATACATGTACGTATTTGCTTGATCCAATAATTGAAGGTAGCATAAAATTTGTTTTGCTTAATCAAAGGGATGTCCAGTCTTCTAAAAGGACTGACTATGGTTGGCTATTTATTGAACTAGATGCTGATGTGTTTGATATGATAAATTGAGTACCATCCAGTAGAAATTGTGTCTGGTTTGGTACTGAGGTTTCCGACCAGAATCACAACAGAAACTCAAGTGAAATGTCCCTAGCATATCACTAAATACCAGATGTGGCTGTAAGGATTACTAGGGTAGTTGGTTTTGTTCTCCTTATAATGCCAAAAAAGGGGGTTAAACCCCCTCTATTGCTCCATTCAATTGCTCTATTTCAATGTAGCACATTCCATTTTAAAACAGAGCTTTGGATATATGTAGGTCTGATTTTACATTCTTTATGAGGCATACTTTATAATTTTGAAAGATTAAAAGTGTCCTGTCTAATTTTAAACTTATAGTTAAGCTTTAAAATTATTTCTTTTCCCTCTGGCATGCCGCAGGGGTCACATGACTCCATGTGGCTAGGTGCTTATTTTAGCATTTAAATCAACATGCCAAGAGTTTACACCTTCAAAGTTGCAAACTGTAAGAAATCAAGTCTTAGATGATCAAGATAATCACTCTCCATGCATAAATGTGCTCATCTGTTAATGCACACTAGTATTTTCTCTGCAAAGTAGACAAGCGGCAAATAAAATAGTCTCATGCTATATATTCAGAGCTGTTTTACAGTTTTTGGGACTTGCTGTAGGGAAGATCTCTGTCAGATTAAAACAGTGTTGGAACTCATGAGCCAAAAAAGTAATTTCTGATCTTTGCATGCCCTGTATATAGTCTCAACAGACAAATTCAACCAAGTGCAATTTGCTTTGCAATTTTTCTGAGAAGGAAGTCATGAAGTACTTATAGCTTGTCTAGATATGAATTAATCTACAACTGAGAATATTTACTTTTACTCTGTAACTTTGATTAAAAGATCAAAGCATTTGTTCTACAAACTGATTCCAATGCAACAAAGGGTGGAATATATGCCACATGCTTAGTTTAATCATGAAAATGTTTCTGTTAACTTCAGAGAGAGTAGTTATGTGCTTAAAATCATGTGCCTGTTCAAATTTTTGTTGTTCAAAGCTTGCAGATGTAATACTTCCCTTAGTTCTCTTTAAATTGCCAAACTGGTAAGAACACCAACTCTAACAGTCATCAGTATTGTTATTCATAGCACTCAGGCATCTGCTCAGACTGCAGAACTTCTTAGCTCATACTAAAATAATAACACTAGCAATTACAGCCTCATTGTTCTTTGCAAGAAACCCTTTGAAAATCTTGTCAGCAAGAACTCTTTTTATCTCAACAAAAACACAATGTACAGGTCCCCTGCTCTTAACCCCGGGATGCTTTAAGAAGAATCTAGTCTTGTCCAACTGCAGTATTATTGATGAGTGAAAGCTTTTTTGTGCTTCATAATGCCTTTAAAAGCAGCACAAACAGTATTTGTCCATATAGTATGAGCCCTTCCCAACTGATCATTGCCATTATATCTCTTTAGACTTCTAGAATTTGTCTAATAGAGAATGCAAGATCATATCTATGTAAATCCAGAGTTCTGTTTGAAGTTGGACACCCAAAATTGAAATAGAGAGGGATTAAAATGTCTTTCAAAGCATGGTCTGGGCTCATCCGGGCTTCAGTTATAAAATAGAAACATACTTTCTAAGGAGAAAATTTTAAGACCTGCAGCACTTGCTAACAGCATGCTGAAGCATTGCATTAGTATCAATGGACAGAGAAAAGAGAAACAGTCTATAGAGTAATAAAAGACCTCCTTTTCTAGTAGCTGGATTCTCTGTCCCAGCACAGTATCAGCTGGGCCTGATTTTCCTTTCTTTGTGATATTT